AGCAGGATTGAAGAATGACTTATCCCTTAGCAGCAATGTCCCTTTAAGATTATGTCATCTCCATCTTTACCATACTGCAATAGAAAATAAAGATAAGTCTGTGTGGGCTATTCTTGCAATAAATGTAATTAGGACCATATTGCCTTTGCCTGCTGCACAGTAATGGGATAAAGACATTTATCTGTTTTGCCAACCTGCTAGTGCTTCTCTTACCATACTATTTAAGAAAATGGACAGTGAAGAACCAGTTCTAGACACCTTCTCACCTATGAGCTTCTGGATAGCTGCTGTGCAAAAGAAGTTGCCCAAAACATGGAAAACAGGAGACATTTCAAGAAAATGGCTTTGTGTCACAACTCTTCAGGGTTCCTTTAGGGATACACAGCTCTTTGCTGCCTCACCTCAGTGCTGGATAAGCACTGCGATCGCAACACCTTTCTCAAAGAGCTGCAGGTACTTTGTAAAACAATGTAGAACTCTATATTATCCTGCCTATTCTGCCTCTCACAATCTTTCTCTTTCTTTACCCCACTGTCTTTGTTACACATCTCCGGATTGGGTGACTTATTTTAGCTGGAAAATTTACAATTAAAAGGCAACATGCCATGATATTTCTTCTTGCAGAATTCTGAGCTGCTTCTACAATTTAGATGATAATTCTCTATTCTTATTGTATTAATATTACTGGTACTTATTATTTCCTAGTGATAAGTCTTTTGAGGATCTCCTCATTTTGCAGAAGGTATTTTTGAAGGGAGAATGGGAAATGGGGCAATGTCCTAGGATGAGGGATCCTTTTTGGTAGTTCCTCAAATATCATGTCTTTGACTTTGAGTTAATTAAGTTCTTGGCCCTCACTGTTTTAATAGGGCACCAGACATGGTATTAATGGTACTCTGGGGACAACATGAACGCTGACAATTTCAAGTCTCCTGTACTCAGATCCATCTGCCTAGAATAGTCCAGCAGCTGAATGAAATAATTGCATTTCAAAGTTTATCTTGCAACTATAGACCATAGCAACGAGTGAAGTTGAGATTCATTTAATAAAATTTTAGTTAGCTAAAGTGTCAGCTTATCATCTAAGCTAGTTTCCTACATTCTCTTTATAGTAAGTGGAGAATGATGGAAACTTCCAGAGAAAAAGAAGAGTTTATGTTAGGCATCTATGTTGGGGTAGAGAATATAGTGCAGGTTCTTCTCTACCTTCAATATGTAGTGAAGGGACCTAAACAATAAGCCTATATTAGATCTCTAACTTAAACAATTAAAGTTCAAAAGATTAATTCAGAATATATTTACTATTCAGAATACTTCAATGGCACTTACAGAACTGGGTCCCCATGGTCTTTGAATTCATGGTTGCTCTTTTGTAAAGATTGCCTCAATCTACCTCCCCAAAGCTTAGATAGTACGAGGAAAATGTGCTATCTGGGTCCCATCATTCTGCTAACCTTAACCCTAACTCCAGTCTAGCCCTAGCCAGCCGGGGGCCAGGGAGTGGTGCTTGCAGAGGAACACTATATGAACCACAGGCTCTAACAAAATAGGACTTTCACCCTGTCTCACCAAGATCTGCATAATGGTGCAAAATAGCTCCCCTGGGACCCATCATTCTTTTAGCCCTAGCCAAAACATGAATCTTAATCTTACTTTAGCCTCTCCAGATCCAGAGAGGGGTAACTGTAGAGCAACTATGAACATGCCACTGCCTCTTCCCGTATAGTTCCCTCATTCCACCAACCCAGGGCCTGTATGATTGGGATAGTCTCCCAGCTCTAAAATACCACTAGTTTTGCCTAGTCCTGAAGCACGGAAGGGCATTTGCAGATATATTTTAGGTGAGCCATAAGGTCTTTCACACAGTGCCCTCACTCCACCACACTATGAGCATGGCTGTGGGCTGGATGAGGAAATTCAGGAATCACAGTCTCCTGTCATCCACCTACTTTCCTGAATGAACCTCAGCTCATCCTTGCTGTGCATATTAGCTGTATGAATGGATAAAGGCTCCTACCGTCTCCTCCACTGCAAACATTATCAAGTCCGGGAAGTGTCTGCCATTATCAGAAAAAGTCATCTGGCCCACAGCCCACTCTCAGACCAAGTTAAAATGACAGTTAGGAGTTGCTTGAATTGTTCTGGCAGATGTTTACAGGCTAGTAACTCCAAACTAAATGACAGTAGTTGCTCTCAAATTGCTTTTAAGAGCTCTCCTGTTTTATGAGATTAATGGATATGGGGTGCATTGGTGCATTGGATTCCAACAGTCCCCTGCACCTCTTTTGTTTAGGAGAAAATATAGGAATCACACTGAGTATCCACTCAGTTGGGTAATCTGGAAAGTGAGTCAGGACTCTCCTGTGACTGAAATTGTAGCAACTCGGCTTCAGGAATATATTCATATGGAAGCAAAACGTATAAGCGTTTCCTCAGATGCTCACGTGCTTCTGGGGTCCCCCCCATCTCCAGTCTAGCCCTAAACTGTGGACTAGGAGAAGAGAAGATCTTTCTGGTGCTCCCATTTTTGTATGCCTAATCCGAGACACTAGAGAGGAGCCTCCTCTGCACAGTGAGGGATATGCAGTGAAACCCTTGGTTTTTGCCTCTGAAATTAAACTGCCATCTGTACTTAACTGTGGCCAGTTTCTCAATCTCCTCTTCAGATGATCCAAGAGAAGCCAGTCCAATATCCTAAAGCAAGTAAGCAAGCAAGCAGTGTTACACTAGTGTGATTATTCCGCCCAAGGGAGAGAGAGAGGGGAAGGGGGAGGACCACATCATTTCTAGCATGAATAGCATGAACTATTCATTGTTTTTGTCACCCAAAATGACCTTCCATGGCTTCCAGGATGCCTACCTCTCCCTGGCCCCCAGCTACATACCACTGGGAGACACATTTGATGAATGCTTAATCCTCAGAGTTCTCTGAATAAAATTAACCATCTCTTGGCTTATTGCTGAACTATCCCTGGCAAGATTTATGGGGAGGTATTAGAAGGAAAGATAGCAAGGTGGTTTTTATCTTTGCCATTAAGTCTCCGTGTCCCACTCTCCTGAGAGCGCCCAAGGGTGCCGCAGATCCCTGCTGACTGCCCTAGGATAGTGAGGGAAGGCAGTATGCCAGCAGAGGAGCAAAAGATAGGGGACTGAGGGGGCAGTCCTGCTGGAAAGACAGAGTAATCCAGTACTCCACTTCTTACACCACTGGCCAGCACCAAAGGCGAACTCTATTTACTCTCTTCTATGCTCCCTCTTGAGTTAATTTTTATTCTGCCAGCAGGAACCCATAGGTTTCTCCTCTTAGTTATCCTGGGAACCATGTCATGCAGCAAGCAAACAAAAATAGATTTTTTTCCCCATTCATTTTCTCATGTTGAATGGAATAAAGAAGAATTTTCATGGGGTGAATTTCAACTGTGAAAATATTTTGTATCGTTTACTTAATGTGATCCCATGTTGTATCGACTGTAATACAGATGAGAAAAGAGTAAAGGTGAGAATTTTGAAACTGCTACAGTCTTTTATTTCTGATATACCTTCACTTCTGGCACTGAACTGAAGAAGGTTCCTCCAGAATATATTATAAACCATCAGGATATGGTTAAGAACCACTAGTCTGAATCTGGAAATCACCAGTATTTATGACCAAAATGGAAACTGGCATGTTTCTAAGTTGATACAATTGGAAGTCACATTATGTGAGGTGAACTGGGTTTCTTTTTCAGGTATTCTGACAGGGACCTACATCATATAACCACCCTGCACTTCTTGCCAGTTTCCACACAGGGCACTGATTAATATGCGTAGAATATGAGCTATCTTCTTTCCTCTGCTATGGTTTTGAGGCACATTCACAGTTCTGAAGTCTTTAATTATGCAAGGTCATTGAGTTCACTTAGGTCTAACACTGACTGATCTTACTAAGTAGCCCCTTATGGGGGCTACCCTTATGTACCCTTATGGTACAAAGAAGCCCTATTTGCTTTTAGAAGCCTCCTCGCCAGTGTGAGCAATGCTGTGAGAATCTGGTGAGTTGTAAAAGGAAGAATATTTCTAATGAATGACATGGTGATGGGCACAATTAAAGTATTGTGTCAGATGAAAATGTACATCCAGAGACAGAATCAGCTTGGGGGGGCTTAATGGCTATTGCTGGTTAGGTTCATGTGGTGGATGAGAGGACATCAGGAGAATAGTGCAGTCAGTAGAGTTCAGACACACCGCACCACAGAGGCTCCACTGGCATCCTGCAGTGGACTAGCATGGCCCTCCCACAGAGAAGCCTCACAAACACTGCTTGCCCTTCCTTTTACAAGTTGCCCACACTCCCTTGGAGTAAATATCTCCTGGGGCACTGCTAGCCCACCACTGTTGTAAGTAGGAGACAACCAAGTCTTAACATAGCAACTTCAAGCATGGTGAGCTGCATGCCTTTGAGGCATGTCTGTCCTGCTATCTGGAGCACTTGGTCAAGCAGCCAGAGAACAACCTTCTTACCTGTGAGAACTGGGCAAACTCCTTGTCAGCTAGCATGGGAACATGACCCAACAACTCGTGGCAACAGTCTCTGGAAAACAAGGGACCTTCACATTTAATAAAGTTTGTTTTTCCTGTTTTACATGAAGGACTTTAGCCAACAGACTGCCGCCAAAGGAGCTAGTGTGAGGGTTAAGACCATTTCAGCTGCACCATGGTAGCTGCTGCATACCTGGCCTGGCTCTGCAGAGAGCCTGATAGAGCACTCCCCTCTGCCATGGAGAACCAGCTGCCCCCACTACCCTGGTTATTGGCTCCCTTGGGATGACATGGGCACTAGTCTCCTATGTCACAACATTTTTGAAAGGCCGCTGTTTTGTCCCAGCATACAACAAAAACGTCTGTGCAAACTTGTAATTTCTCATGAAATGTAATTGCTGCTGTCTGGCCAGCGCTTTCTGGGAGAGTTTCACAGCAGGGAATCAAAACCCAGCAGATGGTAAATAAAGGCAGGAAGAAAAGATTAAACCAGATATTCCCCAGTCTTTTCCTTCTCCAGACAACTTTGCAAGGGAGACAGAGACTCACACCCTTTCATGCATGACTTCCCCTTCAAACTCTCCAGCTACCAGTTTCTCAAATTATTTCATTCTGTGAATAGAGCTCCAGAACCACCCCCAGCAATTTAAGAAGGATGGAGTTGTGCCAAGATATCCTACTTACGGTTCTGGGGAATGCATAGGAGAAGAGAAATGCCTTATATACTGTGTGCTCTGAAAGACACGAAATGCTAGGCTGGCAAGGAAGTCACGAGCAGACAGCAGTCCTGCAGCTGGTCTCAGCTGGAAACCTGTTTTTTCTGCACAAGAAAGTGAGACAGGATTTAGGAAATTCTAGAGTTAATTACATGACAATCTCACTCCAGGTAAGCAGTTTCAGGTACCCTTCATGCTCTGTTACAGCAGCTCTGTCCACCTAAGGATAATAGGACTGTCTTGGCTTGTCCTTGTCAGTGTATGCCCATGCTGTTATGGGTCCAATTACTGTAACATCATATCACCTCACCACCCATCCTGTGCTTATTCACATAAATTTATGTGAGGTATGGAAATAGTGCCACTCCCAGTTTACATTTCTGCCATATTTACATACAGGTACCTGCAGTCTCCCACATGTAAATGATCTGTGTCATGTCACACAGGAGCACTATGGTCGAACAGGAAATAGAACCGGCGTTTTCAGTCTCTGTCTATTTTACTAATCATTGGATTCTCTTTCATTTGCTGTATAGTACATGGACAAGATAAACAAGAGTTTGGCATGGAACACCCCCCATCTCCGACCTCTGCTTCTTCTGAGGCCATCAGGCCATTTCTAGCCATTCCCTGATGCTAAGTTACTGTTTGGCTCCCTCCTGCAGTTTCTTATTCCTTTCTCTGAAGCCACTGCTACCTGGTACTGTCAAAGACAGGGTGGATCATGGTTCCTCAGCAGACCTAGGTCAAAGTACCCCTGGGTAGTGAAATTGGAGCATACTATTCAACTTCATTGCAATCTATCTAGGCATGCTCCAAGTGTAAACACTAGCTCACTACTGGCAAAGCTTACTGTCCATTTTATCTTTCCGTCTGGACTTCATTAGAATGGGAGCACTCAGGAGAGACAGCAGAAAGGTCCTCTTTAGAGGTAAGGGCACCAAAATCCGGCCCTTAAACATTTAACATCCGAGTTTCCATCAGTGCTCTCACCTCCTGTTTTTCCCCTCTGATTTGTTTGCTGTGATGTTTATCTAGAGCTAACTGCACACTCTCCAAGTGATATGATCATATCTGTTTCACTTTGTGTAGGTCCATAGAACAGGTTAGAATAATACGGAGTTTTTGCATGATGATTTCAGCTGA